TCTTTGCAAAGTTATAGAATTTACAAGAAAAGCCCTAAATTAATTTCTTCTTATTTCTGTAGCTTTGAGCTGACAATGAACATTTAGGGCTTTTCTTGTAAATTCTATAACTTTGCAAAGAAAGGTCGTGTAGAGCTGGAAGACATCTCATTTTAATCAGAAATTTGCGGGCTACAATCATATCTCATTAAAAAAAGGTTTTAGTTATCTCTTAGAGTTCTTGAAAAACTGGTTTTACAGGAAACGGAGTGCTCAAGAGTCACGGGCACGAACTCTTTTAGGGTTTTCTTAGTTTAGGTTAACGATGTTAATAGCTAATATATAGAAGAACATTTGGTGAAAGTTTCATCAAAATTAGAATTAGGCTAAAGTAGGCGCAAGCATTTTATTGAACATCTCTCTTCGGAAAACTTACTAGAAAAACGTTATATGCGTTTTCTCCAACTTCGAGAGTCTCAAAGTAGAAAGCGTTTTTAGCAATCCATAGAGAATTTGTCGTAGATTCCGGATATGTGTTTTTTTTCTAAAGGCTTCCCATGATTTTGCACATAATCCAGTTTTCCAATAGCACCATTCTTTTCGATTCAATTTTTCTTAACGATTTTCCCACTAAGGTTGGCACTTAGAAAAAAGCTTCCAGTAGCAAAATGATAGAGCGTACGCTGAAGTATATGACCGCTATTCAAATTTCGAAAATGTCACTTTCATTTTTTCACCAAAAGTCGGCCTGGATGCACACTGTGCGGCGGGAGGCGGGTGTATCCTGAGATTGCTAATATTTCCCTGTAATCTTTCTTTCGCATCTTCTCTTTATTTTTAAGCTAGTGCGCTGTTACAGACGAACTAGAACAGTGACTTTCACTGGAGATGTGAAAAATTACATTCAGAAATACTTTCAGTTACTCACTTTACAACGCTTTGTTGTTTTATTCGAATACCAATGTGACTAAAAGGAGCGGATATTCACATTATGTGTACTGCACAGAAGCTAGCAGAACTTTGACGCTTCAAAGTATTTTTATGCCAGGGTTTTTCTTTTCTTGTTTACATAAAATAACATTTTTTCTCACTCATTCAGAACAAGGAGAAAAAAAATGTTCTTTCTCTATTTTGATGTTGAAGCCAAAAGTCTTTTCGTGTTGTGAATGCGTAAGTTATATGTGTAGAAAAAGTCTTTTTGCACTGCCGGCATAAAAAATACATGGAAAAAGTGAAAGCTCTGCTAGCTTCTGTGCAGTACACGTAATCTGCATCTTCGTTCGTTTTAGTCACGTATTTCAATGAAACAACAAAATGCGGTGCCATTTAGTTTTTCTGGTATTCATCCAAGCTAAAAAACAGACCCTGCATCGTTTCTTTTTTCTGCTGGGAAAGTTAGTAGATGCAGCTGGATAACTAGATTTTGTTTGGTCATTTAGCTAGATGCTGCTGTTGGAACATTGACTAATCTAGCTGCATCGACTCTACTCCGCAAAATAAAAAGGTGAACACCTCGTTTCACCGGTATCTGTGCGATACACTGATCAAGAAGTGCATCGAGCGATGCATCTAGATAACCCGATGCTCCAGTAGTTGCATCTAGCTAAACGAGTAAAAAAAATCAGCCGATATACCAGCAAAAGTATCTAGATATTTCTGCTACAGAGGTTTAAAAAATTGCAACGGAAATTGTTGACCTGTCGATAAAAATTGAACTGCCTACGGATTGAGAAGAAAACTATTATTTGATCATCTTGCTTTTCCATAAAAGTGCTCGAATTGAAAAAATGAGACAGATTTATTGTTAAAATAATATGTATACACATATTAACGCTAATTAAGTGTTATGGAATATGGGACGATTTGAGAGTAAACCATTCTTTTTGAAAACAAAGGTAAACAATTGAAAAATTCCTTCTTCGTTCCATTTTGAATGTCTATGAATCATAATGCTGAAAGAGAATATTAGAACATTCCAAGTGATTACCTTGGAAGAAGTTGTTTTATCAAGTACAATGTGTTACCTTACTCAGTTTTAACGAGTATGCAAAAAATGGTTCTGGTATGAAAAAATGACTTGAATCTTGTTAAGTATTTTGATTACGCTAAGAATAAATTACAATGAGTTTGCGTAAGAGTTACTCACCCTCAAGCAGCTCAGCAGTAGATCAAAGAGCAATGCGGATTGACGCCTCACAACACATTGAGGTCTTTTGACGAATGACTCTTATATAACACACTTCGTTGACGTTTTGAGTTTTGTTGGTATATTCCAAATGAGCAATAGTTCCTAGATAATTTTATGGATGTCAGGATGCTTCCTTTTCGAGGTTATAGTGCATTTGCACTAACATAGAATGGCTGGTTCTTTCTAGTTTTCTTGATATAAAATAAATTGTTCTTTCGATTTCAAATAAGATCTTTGAGGTGAGTCGATGAACGAAATGTGCAGGTTAGCGAAAATTGAAGTCTAACTAACCAGCAGCTTACGCAACATAAGAAAACTAGCAAGAACCAGCCATTCTATGTTAGTGCAAATGATGAAAACAAAAGTTTTCGGTCGACGACGACGGTGGGATGCATCAGCTAATATCTCCAGCCCATTTTCATATTTACTTCATTTTGCGGTGTCTAACAGCACAATGGCTATGCAGTCATTCACCTGCTAAGCTTAAAAGATTGTAGCTTTTTGAAAAGATGTCAGTTTATTTACCTCAAAAAAGAAATCGTAAAAGCTGGTTACACATTTTTTAATTAGTCCTGAAAGGAATCAACGGTTTTCTCTTTTGTTCGTTTGTTTTCATTATGTCTGATATTTGAAATCCAATAAATCACAAAATTCTTTTTCCAACGCTGTTAATGGACGACCTTTGCCATGTTTCCATGTGCCATCTCGTTGTAATGTGTGACCATCTTTAAAATGAACGTGATCTTGTGGATCAGACGGTGGATTTGCTTTATCGATACGATCAATTACGTTTGAATATTCGGAATTACGCTTCTTCAGTATCTGCTGCCATTGCGAAAATGTCTTTTTCTCACCTTTGGACGGCATCGTTGGGTATTTGGACGTTTTAGAACTAGAGTTAGTGGG